ATGTCATAGCCTAAGCTTCGACGAGGCCGGGGGTCCGTAGCGTACAGGGTGACAATAACTGGTTTTCGCGAGTGGGGGACCTCCGACCTCATCGTTCTAGCAGCTCCGACAAGACTCAGAGAACAGTGCGCGCTCGCGCGCGGGGAGGGCGACGCGTCTTCCCTTAGCTGTGCTGAAGAAGAGGAAGAGAGAGAGAGAGAGAGAGAGATGCAAGGGGCGGCAAAAGGCTTGCCGAAGTTGGGTAGCCATGGCAGGTGCCCCACCATCCGTGCAGGATGTGGCAAGGGCCCCAGCATTGACATGCTGCGTCCTTGTGATGTCCACCAGCTCTGGCTGCGTTGAACAAGACCCAGCTTGAGGCCAATTCTTTGATGCCCGGACCTTGTCAGCACACTGGGGGAAACCATCGCTGGCATAGCAGCACAGTTGATGCCTCATCCTTCGTGGACCCACTGGTGGCACCCAACTCTGGAGGCCCGGGCATCTTCTTCAAGATGCTGTGGATCAGGTCGGGTGCCGACTAGGATTCGCGGACTTGCACCCCCTTTATCCCTTCTGGACAGTGGGGCAGGCCAAGAAGAAGACTGCCTTTTCGCTAAGTGGCCAGGAGCTCAGATGTCCGGAGAAACCTCGGAAGCCCCATAGACAAGCATGGCACGCGGCTCCAAGTTCGAGCTGGAGTGTGCCGTCAATTTCGCCGATGTCATGTCGAGGGCCGCTTTGGTTTTCGCAAAGCCCGTTGCCCGAGGCAACGACGATCCGAACATCAATCTCGACAACATCCAGGGCATTTCGAACCTGAATGCGAGGCATGTTCACACAGCTGTTTCTGCCTGTGCCTTCTCTTGGCGATAACGGTTGCGAAACAAGTCTTGAAGTTCGGCACCTCACCCCGTGAAATCCTCAAGCCCATTCGAGCCCATCAGAGCAGCCCCTCATCCCCTGCAGCCACGGATCCCTGAAGTCTTGTCAGGAGCATCCTGGAGCGTCCGGGGGCCCCTGTGGTGCTGCCGACGGCGCCTGCACCAGCAGGCCCTGATTGACTGAGCGGGCGGAAGCTAGAAAGTCTTCAATGCCGATGCTCCTTGATGCTCCTTCCTAATGGCATTCAATCCCAGTGGGACCCTGACCAGCAGCTGCAGAATAACTACAAGCCCTGATCGTTCCGCTGCAACCATCTGGAGAGTTGGCTTTTCAAGAGCCCGTCACCTCAGTCATATGTCCCAGTACACAGTTCTGTTCTTGCAGAAATGGACTCTTGACTGTTGACCTGGCTCCCCACGTCCCAACGGCTCATTGAAGTCCTTATGAAGATGCGGACTGTTCTTGCCCAGACAGTGTCAAGCGGAAACTACAGTAGCAACACTATCAAACTCACGAGTAGTCTAGTGGCGATGAGGACGGTGAGAATGGGAGCCAGGAGACATAAGACATTTCAGAAGATGCATACCACCTGGGTATACCCCCCGTATCTTGCCAACCAGGCCCGCAGGGTAGGCGCAGACCCCGTAGCCGGTAGGGCCCATACAGCCAGTAGGGGCCGTAGAGCCCGCATAGGCCCCGCAAAGGCCCCGAGGGCTCGGGCCGGATATGGTACCTTTCTCACGTACGTACATACGTACATACGTACATACATACATACATACATACATACATACATACAGATATATATCATATACATGAAAGTTCTCATGATTGTATTGGAATCATCAGTCTTGTTCTACAGAGATGCTATGTCAAACAGTCCCGTGGAGGCGCCAGCTCGCGGAGCCGCTCCGGGAGCCAATCTCCTGGGAAGCGCTCCGAGCGAACGGAGCGCAGCCACTCTCGGTCTCCATCGAAGCCGAAGGCCTCGGCTGTTTAGGCTTTTAGGGACCTTAGGGGCTTTGGGGCTTCAGGGTTTTTTTTGGGGGGGCTTAGGGCGTTAGGGGTTTGGGGTGTTGGGCAGGTTCGGTTTAGGATTTGTGTTTTTGGTTTGGGGGCTTAGGATTCCGGTAGGGTGGTAAGGTCACAAGAACAGCTCATGGTCAGAGCTTCGGTTTCAAGTGTACCAGGCGCCTACGGCTTCGCAGTCCTGAGCCACTTCCCGGTCCGGAGGAGGAGACGCCTCAGGACTCCAGCCTTGGAGCACCAGGCTTTCATCATTTCAAGAAAGATTGGTCATCGACCAGACGGTGGCCCTGCAGTACTGGAGTCCTACTTTTTGTCCCACAACAGGGGTGAGGCGGGCAGTGGGTTGAAAACGCCACAAGGACGACCAGGAGCCCGAAGCCAAAGAAATCGCAGTAGAAATTTTACATGTAGTGCTTTGACAAATGGACACTCCGATGCTCTTGCACACGGAATGTCCGGCAGCGAAGGCTCTCGACAGTTATGTGAACGTTTTAATAGATTATGTTTCACTTCTGCGACAGGAGGCCTAAGGCCTCGCGGTGCACGCGGACATTTTCAAAAATTGCCGAGCTGCTCGTCACGCCGCTACAGCGCCACATGCCAGAAAGACCAACATATCAGCACTTTGACATGTAGGACGAAAGGGATCTTTCACAGTCTTCATGGGGCTGGTGTGAGTCGAGGTTGCTTTGCGGGTTTAGTGTCTTCCCCATTTTCTCTGGGTTTAGCTTGGCCGTGTTTTGTTTGCTCAGGCTAGTCAGCTTGATACTCGCCTTATGATTGAGTGCTTCGCTTGCGGATGCCATTGCTGGTCTGTTGCCTCTCTCTCTCCCCCGCGCTCGTCTCGGATCCACCGTCTTTTCCCAGTTCGTCAAGTTGTGATCGGCTGCTGGGTGACGGTTTGTTCCGTCGACAGGAGTCAGGTCGGGGGTCCCTTGGGGCCGAAACCCGTGACGAAAGACGACGACGACGAAGCTGCTGTATAGGATCCTCTTGTCGTCACTGTGGTTCCCAGCATGGACTCCGGTTTTCCTCACCGTGTGGTTGATTCAAGTTGATTCCAGGTAAGAGTAGTTAAGTTAAGCGTGCGATTCGGGCACTGGTCACGGTGTTCGAGCGCCACAAATCAAGCTCGAGCGTCACTGGCGATTCAAACATGTCGCCGCTTCGACCACCGCCGATTCAAGCACCAAACCTGATCGAGAGCGCTCGATCCAAGCACTGCGATTCAGATGCCGGCACGGGGCCGGTTCCCGCTCGCGATCGAGCATGGAGCTTTCAGTACCAGAGTCCCCGGTGCACGAAGTGCGCGAGTCTGCTGCCGCTTCCGCGAATCTTTGGCCCCAATCAAGGTTTCCCCGTGCGCGAATGGGTTCCTTACCAGATTCACAGTGAAGCCTTGCCGCTGCTTTTTTCGAGCTCCCGCGGCTTTCAAGAGAGCTTGTTCAGTCGAGCCTTCTCCTCTGCTGTGGCCGAAATGGGAAGACTCTTGGCAGCAGGTGCAGCAGAATTCCTTCTTATGCTTCGCCGTGTGCCTGAAACAATTCGACGTGCGAAGCGAGCGCAACAGCATGCTGTGTTTTCAGTCAAGCTGCGGCCATCCAAGGTGGTGCATCTGCAGAGGCAAAGTCGTCTGCGATTCAACTTCTCGGCGTTGCTTGTACGACATTGGCACGCTCAAACCTAGTTTAAAGTAGCTGTGACCATACCAGGCTTAACCTCGTGAGCTTTGCTTTCCGTGCACGTGCGGTTTGCCCTTCTCACAGTATCCCAGAGCTCAGGACAAGCTCCTAAAATCTGGAGGCCTTAAAGCCGATGGTGCCGCGGCTGGAGGCGAGTCTTGCATAGAACCCTAGAGCTAACCACATGGCATGAGCCTGTAGTGGCAGGCGAATCGGTCGACACGGCGAGTGTTTTCGAAGGCAAGAAGGCTGTTGGGCTCTACTTTTCGGCCCACTGGTCACTGGGCTGACATTCAGGAAATGATGCGCGCATCCCGACCTATACACAACGCACTCAACATGTCAGTGTGGGAAGAAGGTGGCCCTATACATTATGGCATGGACAGCTTGGCTTGTCTGCAATTCTCTAGCTTGAGTCGCGCATGCGGGGCTCCTCCATGTCTGTAATCGACGAGGGGCGACCAGGACCGGAACAGTCCCCTCTTGAGTTCGCTGCATCTGGGTAGTCAAAGACGTGACAGATCAGGGGCAGAGCATACAGACGAGAGCTCCAGCCTGCCCTCGAAGCGGCTTGCACCAAAGACAACCTATCTACATATCACTTGAGACTTCTCGTCAGCCGAGGTGTCCTCCGTGCCGTTCCTCAGCTGCACCTATGCATCGTGAAATGAGTAAAACCGCGGAGACGTGAATCAAGCCTGGATAAGCGCCAACGAGACTCAAACAGCGGGACCAATGTGAAGGTCGTGCGACTGTTGCTGCAAAGTATCGGCACCAACAAACAGGTCATTCGCGTCTTCTCATGAGACAGTCACTCGTACTGTATTTCTCGCACTTGCGGTTTGTGAAGCCACATAGCATCCATAGTAAAGGAGTAAAGTCATTAACGGTTTTCTTTTGAACAGAGACCGTCACCTGGAGCACGCATTTCTCGCGCATGCTTGTTGTGGCGGCGTCTTGCTAAGGTAGTTTCACACCGAAGCTGGCGGAGGCATACAAGGCCCATCTAAAAGACAAGGGCCTTGAAATTGTCTTCGTATCCTCAGACAGCTCCCTGGCAGAATGGCGTTCCGTGGGCAAAATGTACCTTTTCGTCTGATCGCGTCTCCCTTCGCAACCGGCTTCCCATGCTGCTTGTCAGTTTGTCTGAAGCTGAGAATCTGAAGAAGAGTTCAACAGCTACTTCGGTGAAATGCGGCCTGGCAGCACTGATCTGCGAGATTTCTGGGCTTGGTAGCACTAATCGTGTACGTGCGGCGGCCTTTCCGCGACAGCGCGTGTGTCGCCTGTGGATTCATTCCGTGCACGCCAAGCTTGTGGCTCGTTTCGACAGGTAAGCAGTTTGGACGGCACTCTGGCTTGCCTTTGCATGCAGCATAGTAGCAGCGGTAGGATCTGCAACAGGAGCAACAACTCTCGCTTTGCATGTCGAGGCCATGGCTCGCGCTGCCTTTTAGCGAACGGACCAAAAAGGCCCAAATGTCACACCAATTGCTTCCACAGACTGCGCCGAATCATTGCCCTTCCAGACGGTTTTCAGATCAGCGCTGCCGCACTCAGTTGTGAGAGACAGTTGCCCCTGAGCAGAACGACCTTTCCAAAAAGTTCAAGGTCAGCGGAATTCCGACGTCACCTAGCTGCAAAAGCTACTACAGGATTTCAGTTTATCTGTTGGTCTAGCGACCTCCAGACTGGAAGCATAAAGCAATGCATCGCCTGCAGCTGGCTTGGATAGCACATTGTGTTTAAGAGCAGGTTCGTCATCATAAACGCGGAGAATGGCTCCGTCATCACGGCAGACGGGCGCAGCGCAGTCATGTCAGATCCGGAAGGCCTTTTCCACCAAAGTGTTGATTCGACTTCAACTAGCATTTACTAGCATCAGTGTGGGAAGCTTGGAATTCATTTCTGCAAAATACTGCCACAAGCTGTCACTCAAGCGCCGTTGACTTGGCACGCTCAGGTTGAAGTAATGGTCTTGTCCCAGTCCTAGTGCAGTCTGCGGAGAATGGAGACGAAAAATGGATGCCATATTTGCTGAAGGCAAATGAATAGTAGTTTGCTTTTCCTAGATCTATCTATCACAACTTTTTCAGAGCTCTGACAGCGATCCCTGCGAGGCAAAAAGTTTCCGTGGATACCGCCAACCTTTCAGGACACTGTAGATCCCTGTAGCACGCTGAGTTTTTGCTTTCAACTCAAGAGGAGGATGGTCAGAATCAGTAAGTGTGGGTAAGCCGACACGGTTTTCGACAGGCCCTACAATGGTTTTCCGGCGTGTTCCTATTGTTGCATGCTGTCAAACTGTTTGTCTATCTTCTTATGTATGTATACATATATATATATATGTATGTGTTCAGACATTGCTTTGATATGAAATTGAGCACATACTGGCTTGCAGTCGTCACAGGTCGTCAATTCGTGAGATGGTGCACTCCGTGACGTCTCAGCTTTGCAGACAACACACCTGCGAATTACTTTCGGCCAGTAGCACTTCTCCGAGGATGCGCTACTCAGGGCAAGCATCGGGGCCAGTGCAGATCTTGCTTGCTGGAGGAGGCTTTGGGTGACGAATTCATGGATGGGGAAGAGACTGTGGACAAGAAGAAGCTTGACACTTGGCTTGTCAGGTATTTCCGGCCTTCATACCCGATGCTCGTTGAGCACTTGTAGAATACGCACCATGCGGCACGTTGAGTGCACGAAATGGTGCTATGATTTCTGAAGTCTGCTGCCCTGACAAGGAAGGCAAGACGCTTGGCTTGTACTTTTCAGCGCACTGGCATCTCGGCACAGAGTGGCTTTGGACGACACGGCCTGGATCGCACAAGAGAGTCGTGATGCACCCGGCTGCGCCTTTGGACATCCTTTCTGGCGCATCCGCGGACACATCAGTGCGCTTGCTAAACGAGTTGAGTAGAGCTGGGCGGTGCGACACGGGGCTTGTGATGCGAGCTCGGTGTGACTTGAAGATAATGAGAAACGGTCGTGTACCGTATATTTGTGTGTGTTTTCCCCTTTGTGCGAGCTAGCATTTTTACCACACAAATCCACGACGCTGTAATCTCTCAATGCCCATTCTGGAGTGTCGTAGGAAGCATGTTCTGCCACGAGCTCAAGGGTATGCTGTGAATACATATGCAGTGGTAGCATTAAGAGTGACAGCATGCAGTCTGGAAGCGTACCGCTTCAGGTGTCCACCTTGCCGAGCGTTTACGCCGCAGCTGGCAAAATGGTATGCGGGCATTAAGATGCTGGGATGCAATCAATGCAATCGGGATTCGCGGACCTGCTTCAACCTTTCGTGTGTTCTGTATGCAGTAGCACATGGTGGGTATGCGCCTTCTACATTCTCATGTCCGGACGGCCGGCTGCTTCAGACCGTCGCCCCCACAGAAAACCGGGCGGTTCTCAGGTCAGAGCTCGGGGATAAGTTCGAGATCATATTCTGCAGTGGCGACCGGGATGAGGCCTCTATGAAGGAGTATTACAAAGAGCAGAGAGAAGCTGGGGGACCTGCCAGCTGCAACAAAGATAACAGAAGTTCAGGGTGTCAGGATGTGGTGCATACCGCGGCACTACGCTTTGTGCGTGTCAGGACTTCCAAGCCTGGTACATTCTAGAGAGGCTTCTCTGTGCCTGCTTAGTTCGTGCTTCCGCTCAGGAAAGTGGCTTGCTATGCCGTACCACAGAAAGGATGATCTGGATCCACTTTTCGAGATCCAGGGAATCCCCACTTTCCTGAGCCTTGGCCGCACTTCATGGACGGTCCTTGCCCGCACCACTAGAAATCGATCCGCAAGAACAGCTTGCAGATGCGTTGCTACTTCTCAGGATCGTCAGCCCGGAAGGCAAAGTCATCAACAAGAACGGGCGATCGTTGACCGGTGCACCCGCTAGCAACACGGCGAGACATTCGTGACGTTTCGCACTTTCCGCCAGTAGTAGTAGTAGTAGTAGTAGTAGTCGTGGTGGTGGTGGTGGTGGTAGTAGTAGTAGTAGAAGTAGTAGGTATAGGTAGTAGGTAGTATAGGTAGTATACAGGTCGTATAGGTAGTATAA